TTTTCTTTTTCACGTGTATTTTGTCTTGCTCCCAAATTAGCCAACTTTGAAAATTATGACAACTTTGAAATAAAAGAATGTCATTCTTTTAAAATTATTTTCAAATGACATAATAACTATGTAATAATATTTTTTTCTTATATTTCTGCTATCTGATATACCTACAACCAGTGGATCTCAAAATATTTTTCTCTGGGCTGCATTTTCGGAAAGAAAATTTGCTCCCTGTGATAAGGCGTAAGCAGCCCTACGGCAAAGAAGGTCTAAAGAGAGGCTTAAAGGGAGATAACTGCGGATTCGAAGTCAGCACATTATCATTGATAACTCTCTTCTTCATATTTTGTAAGATTAAAAATTCATCCTCTCCCCACAGTCCTACAAATCAGCCGCATATTTTCAATATTATTCAATATTATAATAGATCACCTGACAGCCGGACTAAAATAACCTTCCGGATATCAGGAATTGGTTACAAAGTCCGAATATGAGGTGTTATATTTAGATTAAAATAAAAGAGCTAAAATCAGGTTTAACATTTATTTTCAATGTTTTATAGTAAACAAAATAAGCTGATGGTGAGTGAAATATAACGGAAATGATTTTAAGGAAAAAGAAATAATGTAATGTTAATGAAAATCCATTAAATTAAGTATGCCATGTATGCAAAACAAATAATGTAACGAAGATTTTTTTTACTCGCTGTTGCTTGATGATTCTTTTTCTTCTAACGCCATTCTTAACCTTTTCCGCATTTCGTTTTGCTTTTGTTCTTGAAATTTTTTAAACAAAAGACACTTTTTTAATTAGGCATGCGTTATTGCGTCGTAGTTGAATGCTGGCTTTCTTTCCATAGAACCGAGAACCTTTTCAATAGCTTTTCCAATTTCAGTCCAGGTTTCATCACAATCATGCATCTCGTCGCCATCTTATTGCAGATGTGTCTCATTGTCATCCTTTTCTCTTATTCCCATCATCTTTTGCACCAATACAAGCCATTAGGGTAAAATAAGCATAAGCAATTATCCAAAGTAAATTTCCTGAAAAACAGAAATTTCAATTCCGTTACATATCACCCAAAAAGTTCAAATATACATATCAAAATAATGTCCGTATATGAGGGATTCCGGATATGAGACACTCTGGATATGAGGCACTCCGGATATGAGGGATTCTACTGTATTTCTCTTGATTTTATGACTTTTATTAATGTATGAAATCCCTCGTCAATTTTAGCCCGTTTATTTGTTTGTTGACATTGTGTAAGTGGTCACTAGTCATCACTCAAATGTCGTGACAAGTAGACGAACATGTTGCCGTTTTACAGTTAGAACTTAGAATTAATTTGGCACTGAGTTAAGGATTTGTGTTTGCAGTTACTTAAATTTTACACTTATTTTTAAATCCTGATGCTTTAGACTCATTTAAAAGAATGAAAATTGAATCTAATATTTTTTTGAAGTTTTATTATATTTCGATAAGATAACATAGTTAATGAGCTTGACTAAATTAATGGTGGAAAAGGGTTTTAGGGAAATAAGAAAAAGACAAACTTTACTAAGAACTACAAAGGACAGGAAATCGTGTAAAGGCATGTTCAGAAGGGATACGGCACATGAAAAGGAAGAATTAAGAGAAAGAAGAGGAGTAATAAGGAGGAAGGGGAGGAGAAAAAAGAAAAAGGGAAGGAGGAGGAGAAAAAAGGAGGAAGAGGAGGTATAAGAAGAGGAGGGGTAGGAAGAAGAGAAGGACGAAGAAGAAGAGGAGGAAGATGCTTAGAATATTGCCTCCACATATGATCCCGTGCTCCTGCTATTTATCTAGAGATTCTTGATAAAATACGGAGAAGAATTAGCAATATTATTGGTCCTGATCTGGCATCTCGACTTCACTCACTTTCCCACCGCTGTAAACTTGCCTCCCTGTGCCTTTTCTATAAATACTTTTTTTTTTTTTTGGTCATTCTTCGGATTAGCTCTTCCCTATGGTATTGTAAATTGGGGCTAATTTTTAAATTGTTATTTTATTCCCCTCCCTCTACAAACAATGAATTGTGCATATGGGGACTAGTAAGAACTTTCATAGAGACAATGAGGTATTATGGTGAATGCAGTAAGAAAGATTAGTAAGAATGCGTTGTTTTGGTGTTAGGCTTATTGTGGTAAGTTTGGATCAATGTGTGTGGCTAGCTAAGATTAAATTTAAGACAGATGAAGACCGCCCTTTTCCCGATTCCCCATTTTGGCCTTGTGCCACATTTTCTAAATCATTACAAATAAATATCGCTCTTCACTATGGTAAGTAAACAACGCATCATTGTTACTTCAGCCACGAAATACCTCAGAATCTCTATGAAGTCTTAACTAGTCCCCATTGTACATATGGGGATTTGTTAGGACTTTCATGGAGATTCTGAGGTATTATGGTAGATGAAGTAAGAATGGTAAGTAAGAATGCGTTGTTTTAGTGTAAGTAATAGTGTTGCAGTGTTAAGACAGAAGAAGACCGTCCTTTTCCCGATCCCCCTTTTTGGACTTGTGCTAGTTTTTGTAAATATTACAAATAAATAATGCTCTGTACCTAGTCTTTTTGAGTTCAAACACAGTACCAGATTGGCAATGAAGTTCCATCCTTTTACTGTTGGTAAGATGTAACCGTTAAGTCTATAACAACAATTTAATTTCTCGCACTTCTCGCTTGAGGAACTCCCTTCCTGCTCCATACTTTCCAGCCAACTTAAATCTTCAAAAATTTAAATGCAATGCCAGTCGCTATCTGCTATTTTTCTGATTGCTCTTTGTTTGTTCTCACTTCTTAGTAATGTTTCTCTTTTCTAATTCCTCCTAACCCGGTAACGTCTTGAGCCTTAGTGGCTTTACTGACTTGCTTAGGGTGAACTCAATTGAAATAAAAAATTAATACTCACATATGTATTGTCCAATAGGAAAATAAATTCATGTGCAAAAAATAATTTTAATATATACAGAGAAATTAAAATATAAAGACGGTGAGAACTAAACGTATTCTGTTAAATGCTTCTAAAATCAAACTAAAGCAGTGTTTCATTGTAAATCGGCCAGATATTTTGGTGTTTCTTTTCTCTTTTTTTATAGATGTTTGGAAAATCGGCAAAATATTGACTTCCTATATAAGCCTGATCAACATTCTATCATGTCTTTTGTCACATATTTCTCGGTTTACACACATTCATACACGCACAAACACACACAGATAAAAATATAGTTTTTAGGTATGCTATATTTAGCAGCGTATATATATATATATATATATATATATATATATATATATATGTATGTATGTATATATATATATACAAATTCTAAAGAAAGAGATTGCTTTTGTATTTATTAATACAACAGATTTAATTATTGAAAGGTTATTTTTAGTTTGAGAAGACGTTCCGTTTATTTTTCAAACAGTATATTTATTTATGTCTACCGGCCTGAATATTCGAGAAATGCGCTCTCTGGCAGTTTTCTAACCTGTGTTTCCTTAAGAAAAACCGTCATTAGTTCTGACATGATTTGAACCTCTCGGCCACGGAGTGCGCTGATGGTCAAAAATTGCTGATTGGCGCCATTTTTCTCTGAATCTCGAGAGGTTTTATAATATTAAATTCTGATATTAACCTTATGACATTAAATTGGTGTTATATGAAAAATGAAATTTTAGTTTAAAACTAAAGAGACATAAAAACCTCTTCCCTTTAAGAGAATACTTTCCACCCTCTCCTAACCACTGCCTCGTGCATTTCGTCTGACTGAAACATTGAAATAGATAAATTCTGTTTAGTTTTTCAAAGTTTTTTTTCTTTATATATATATATATATATATATATATATATATATATATATATATATATATATATATATATTTTAGAGATAGAATTCTAATTCCAACAGGAACTCAGTCTATACAGAGGCTGAATAAGATTAACGAATTATATTTTCGTCGGAAGAAATAAGCTTATTCCTCGTATGAGATGATTTTGGATTTTTATTTATATTAATTATATATATATATATATATATATATATATATATATATATATATATATATATATATATATATATATATATGAAAATTTCTCAGAGTTGACCTGTAGAAAAAACAATATTTATAAATATAAATGATAATAGGAAAACTAATAGTTGCCAACGCGTTTCGTCCAATGTGGACTTTTTCAAGGCAAAAAACGAAATGAATTTATTTAAAACAAAGTAACTAATAATAACAAAACAAAATGTCCTTAGCAATTGGTAGAATTTAGAGAATGCTACTTTCATACTATTAACTGAAAATTACGTCAATTACTGTCACGTGTGGAAATATTATTATTGCTGAATCCGTCAACACAGCAATAATAATAATATGAGAAAGTCCACATTGGACGAAACGCGTCGGTAACTATTACAGTTTTCCTATTGTCATTGCTATATATATATATATATATATATATATATATATATATATATATATATATCCTGATTGGTGGAACTGAAATTGCAAATAGAAAAATTAGTCTACATTGTCTTTGCAGAGAACAGGGAAGCAACGTCATTCGCAGTTACCAATTTCCACCATTACAGTCAACGTTTTTGAGCTAGCAGAAAGAAAATAAAATAAAACTAAAACTACATGAATTCTGACCCAAACAACAAGAAAAGGGCTACTGTTTCCGACAGCATTGATGGCAATGGTTTAAGTAAGCGAATGGAGAATTGAGATTGAAAGTCAGACGGTAATCTTTCTGTAAGAATAGCGCGCCCGGTTCGACAATATCCCCAAATCCTGACAGGCGTATTGAGTGTCCTCTTTTAGAAAATCGAAGTCATTTTGGGCTGATGTGTGTTTCCATTGTCCCGCACCATCGTTTGAAAAAGTGATGGCTAAAGATGTGCGTCAAATGACAGAAATCTGAACGTTTTATTGCAGTCCAAGATAATTTTCTTCTTCCTCAACAAAAATTCCGGTTTTCCTTCATGGTTAACATTTTTAATATCGTCTCCCTGCTCTTCCTCCACCTCCATTTCCTCCCCCATCTCCTCCCCCATCTCCTCCTCCTTCTACTCTTTCTTATTATATTTTATTTCTTCTTTTTCTTCTATTTTCATTTTTATTTTTCTTCCATCTTTATTTTTTTCATCTATTATATTTTTATTTCTTCTACATCAATTTTTATTTTTATTTCTTTTTCTATATTTATTTCTTCTTCTTCTGTCATTATATGTCTTCTTTCTTTTCTATTTTTTCTTTTCCTTAAGTTTTTATTATTTCTTCTATATTTATTTCTTCTAATTTTATTTCATCTTCCAATTTTATTTCTTCTTCTAATTTTATTTCTTCTTTTACTTCTTCCATTTTTATTTCTTCTTCTAATTTTATTTCTTCTTTTTTCTTCTTCCATTTTTATTTCTTCTTCTAATTTTATTTCTTCTTTTATTTTTATTTCTTCTTCTAATTTTATTTCTTCTTTTTCTTCTTCCATTTTTATTTCTTCTTCTAATTTTATTTCTTCTTTTTCTTCTTCCATTTTTATTTCTTCTTCTAATTTTATTCCTTCTTTTTTCTTCTAATTTTATTTCATTTTTATTCCTGTTATTTCTTTTATTTTTATTTCTTATAATTTTATTTCTTCTTTTTTTTCTTCTTCCATTTTTATTTCTTCTTCCATTTTTATTTCTTCTTCTAATTTTATTTCTTCTTTTATTTTTATTTCTTCTTCTAATTTTATTTCTTCTTTTATTTTTATTTCTTCTTCTAATTTTATTTTTCTTCTTTTATTTTTATTTCTTCTTCTAATTTTATTTTTCTTTTTTCTTCTTCCATTTTTTTTCTTCTTCTAATTTTATTTCTTTTACTTCTTTTTTATTTCTTCTAATTTTTTTTTTTTTTCTTCTTCCATTTTTATTTCTTCTTCTAATTTTATTTCTTCTTCTTTTTATTTCTTCCATTTTTATTTCTTCTTCTAATTTTATTTCTTCTTTTTTTTTATTTCTTCTTCTAATTTTATTTCTTCTTTTACTTCTTCCATTTTTATTTCTTCTTCTAATTTTATTTCTTTTTCTTCTTCTAATTTTATTTCATTTTTATTCCTGTTATTTCTTTTATTTTTATTTCTTCTAATTTTATTTCTTCTTTTTCTTCTTCCATTTTTATTTCTTCTTCTAATTTTATTTCTTCTTTTTTCTTCTTCCATTTTTATTTCTTCTTCTAATTTTATTCCTTCTTTTTTCTTCTAATTTTATTTCATTTTTATTCCTGTTATTTCTTTTATTTTTATTTCTTCTAATTTTATTTCTTTTACTTCTTTCATTTTTATTTCTTCTAATTTTATTTCTTTGTTTTCTCTTCCATTTTTATTTCTTCTTCTAATTTTATTCCTTCTTTTTTCTTCTTCCATTTTTATTTCTTCTTCTAATTTTATTTCTTCTTTTATTTTTATTTCTTCTTTTTTTCTTCTTCCTTTTTATTTCTTCTTCTAATTTTATTTTTTTTTTTCTTCTTCCTTTTTTTATTTCTTCTTCTAATTTTATTTCTTCTTTTTCTTCTTCCATTTTATTTCTTCTTCTAATTTTATTTCTTCTTTTTCTTCTTCATTTTTATTTCTTCTTCTAATTTTATTTCTTCTTTTTTCTTCTTCCATTTTTATTTCTTCTTCTAATTTTATTTCTTCTTTTATTTTTATTTCTTCTTCTAATCTTTTTTCTTCTTCCATTTTTATTTCTTCTTCTAATTTTATTTCTTCTTTTTCTTCTTCCATTTTTATTTCTTCTTCTAATTTTATTTCTTCTTTTCTTCTTCCATTTTATTTCTTCTTCTAATTTTATTTCTTCTTTTTCTTCTACCATTTTTATTTCTTCTTCTAATTTTATTTCTTTTTTTACTTCTTCCATTTTTATTTCTTCTTCTAATTTTATTTCTTATTTTACTTCTTCCATTTTTATTTCTTCTTCTAATTTTATTTCTTCTTTTTCTTCTTCCATTTTTATTTCTACTTCTAATTTTATTTCTTCTTTTTCTTCTTCCATTTTTATTTCTTCTTCTAATTTTATTTCTTCTTTTACTTCTTCCATTTTTATTTCTTCTTCTAATTTTATTTCTTCTTTTTCTTCTTCCATTTTTATTTCTTCTTCTAATTTATTTCTTTTTTTACTTCTTCCATTTTTATTTCTTCTTCTAATTTTTATTTCTTCTTTTTTCTTCTTCCATTTTTTTTTTCTTCTTCTAATTTTATTTCTTCTTTTACTTCTTCCATTTTATTTCTTCTTCTAATTTTATTTCTTCTTTTTCTTCTTCCATTTTTATTTCTTCTTCTAATTTTATTTCTTCTTTTTCTTCTTCCATTTTTTATTTTTTTCTTCTAATTTTATTTCTTCTTTTACTTCTTCCATTTTTATTTCTTCTTCTAATTTTATTTCTTTTTTTTACTTCTTCATTTTTATTTTTTTTTTCTAATTTTTTTTTCTTATTTCTTCTTCCATTTTTATTTCTTCTTCTAATTTTATTTCTTCTTTTTTTTCTTCTAATTTTATTTCTTCTTCTAATTTTATTTCTTCTTTTCTTCTTCCATTTTTTTTTTCTTCTTCTAATTTTATTTCTTTTTTTACTTCTTCCATTTTATTTCTTCTTTTATTTCTTTTTTCTTCTTCCATTTTATTTCTTCTTCTAATTTTTTTCTTCTTTTTCTTCTTTTTTATTTCTTCTTCTAATTTTATTTCTTCTTTTATTTTTATTTCTTCTTCTAATTTTATTTTTTTTTTTCTTCTTCCATTTTTATTTCTTCTTCTCATTTTATTTCTTTTTTTTCTTCTTCCATTTTTATTTCTTCTTCTAATTTTATTTCTTCTTTTCTTCTTCCATTTTTATTTCTTCTTCTAATTTTATTTCTTCTTTTACTTCTTCCATTTTATTTCTTCTTCTAATTTTTTTTTCTTCTGTTTTTTATTTCTTCTTCTTTTTATTTCTATTTTCTTCTTCCATTTTTTTCTTCTTCTAATTTTATTTCTTCTTCCATTTTTATTTCTTCTTCTAATTTTATTTCTTCATTTTTTTCTTCTTTTATTTTTATTTCTTCTTCTAATTTTATTTTTTTTTCTTCTTCCATTTTTGTTTCTTCTTCTAATTTTATTTCTTCTTTTTCTTCTTACATTTTTATTTCTTATTCTAATTTTATTTCTTCTTTTTCTTCTTACATTTTTATTTCTTCTTCTAATTTTATTTCTTCTTTTACTTCTTCCATTTTTATTTCTTCTTATTATTTTATTTCTTCTTTTACTTCTTCCATTTTTATTTATTCTTCTTATTTTATTTCTTCTTTTTCTTCTTCCATTTTTATTTCTTCTTCTAATTTTATTTCTTCTTTTTCTTCTTCCATTTTTATTTCTTCTTCTAATTTTATTTCTTTTTTTACTTCTTCCATTTTTATTTCTTCTTCTAATTTTATTTCTTCTTTTACTTCTTCCATTTTTTATTTTTCTAATTTTTATTTCTTCTTTTTCTTCTTCCATTTTTATTTCTTCTTCTAATTTTATTTCTTCTTTTTCTTCTTCCATTTTTATTTCTTCTTCTAATTTTATTTCTTCTTTTTCTTCTTCCATTTTTATTTCTTCTTCTAATTTTATTTCTTCTTTTTCTTCTTCCATTTTTATTTCCTCTTCTAATTTTATTTCTTCTTTTTCTTCTTCCATTTTTATTTCCTCTTCTAATTTTATTTCTTCATTTACTTCTTCCATTTTTATTTATTATTCTAATCTTTTTTCTTCTTCCATTTTTATTTCTTCTTCTAATTTTATTTCTTCATTTTCTTCTTCCATTTTTATTTCTTCTTCTAATTTTATTTCTTCTTTTTCTTCTTCCATTTTTATTTCTTCTTCTCATTTTATTTCTTCTTTTTCTTCTTCCATTTTTATTTCTTCTTCTAATTTTATTTCTTCTTTTTCTTCTTCCATTTTTATTTCTTCTTCTAATTTTATTTCTTCATTTACTTCTTCCATTTTTATTTCTTCTTCTAATCTTTTTTCTTCTTCCATTTTTATTTCTTCTTCTAATTTTATTTCCTATTTTACTTCTTCCATTATTATTTCTTCTTCTAATTTTATTTCTTCTTCCATTTTTATTTCCTCTTCTAATTTTATTTCTTCATTTTCTTCTTCCATTTTTATTTCCTCTTCTAATTTTATTTCTTCTTTTACTTCTTCCATTTTTATTTCCTCTTCTAATTTTATTTCTTCTTTTACTTCTTCCATTTTTATTTCCTCTTCTATTTTTATTTCTTTTTTTACTTCTTCCATTTTTATTTCTTTTTCCATTTTTATTTCTTCTTCCATTTTTCATTTCTTCTTCCATTTTTATTTCTTCTTTATTCCTCTTATTTCTTCTTCCATTTTTATTTCTTCTTTATTCCTCTTATTTCTTCTATTTTTTATTTCTATTGTTATTATTTCTTCTTTGTCTTCCTTCTTTATTTTTTCTTCATCTATTTTGATTTTTCTTCTGTATTTATTTCTTCTTTTTCTTCTCCCATTTTTATTTTTTATTCTATTTTTATTTTTTATTCTATTTCTAGGCTTACGGACGTATCACGTTGAAACACCGGCTCTCGTACGTTCATCAAAGTTAAGCAACGACTGGTCAATAGCTAGATGAGCGACAGCATTGGAATACCAGCTTCTTTAAGCTTTGATGAGCTGGTAGCGAGCTTTGATGAGCTGGATAATGGCTCGGAATTGTCAATCAGTGAGCCGAATTTCAATTCCGGTCGGATTCGTTATATTCTCTTACGGACAAATAACCTTGGGAAAATTATGAATCCAAATCCTCTCCCCAGTTAAGGGTTGATTAGTAGATCTTGCATCATTAAATAATTTTTATCCCCCACCCCAATTCTTAAAATCCAAAATCTTTTCTTGCTTTGAATAACCTGGAAAGAGTGAATAAGGAATAAAATAAAACAAATAAATCAATTCTTCTTATTCGTTTATCTACACACTTTGTGCAAATTAATTGAAACAGCCCTTTTAGTTGCCTTTCTTTCACCATAAAGTCAGTTTTAGACCCAATGGAGTGACAAGATGCAATCGATTTCTATTTTTCCTCACATTAGGTCATTTGCAGTGATATGTAGTAATTATGAATCTATTTTCGAGGTGTATGATGTAATTTGTTTGGCCTTGAAAAATATTGTGTCATCCGCCTCGACTGTCGATTAGTTGTCCTACGGCTATTGTCTGCGATAGACGTTACTCCAAGAAAGCTTACGAAAATCGTAACGCTGCACGAACACACTGTCAAGCCTTACCAGTGTGCAAATCCAATTACTGGTTCGGAAACTCTCGTGTGTGTATGTGTGCGTGCGTGTGTGTAAACCGAGAAATATGTGACAAAAGATGATAGAATGTTGATTAGGCTTATATAGGAAGTCAATATCTTGCCTATTTTCCAAAACATCATCATCTATAAAAAAAAAAAAAAAAAAAAAAATGCAAAAAAAATATCTGGCCGATTGCCTTAGAATGAAACACTGTTTTAGTTCGATTTTAGAAGCATTTTACAGAATACGTTTAGTTCTCACAGT